AATTTAATTTTTTTGAGTACTGTATATTCCAATGTTCTAGAACTCACTATTTAGACCAGGCTGGCCTCAAACTCACAGAAGATCTGTTTGCCTGTCTCCTGAGTGATGGGAGTAAAGGCATCCATTACTATGCGCAATATAAAGTTACTTTTTTTTTAAAAAAAAAAAGCAAATCTACTTCAAATATACCAAGTTGTATACATTAAATATCTTAGCTTTCAGAATGTCAGTAATACTTCAGTGGGGCGGGAGACACAAGTATACACTTAAAGAAGGAGAAATATAAAAGCGTGGCAGAGAGCTGGAGATTTAGCTTAATGGTAGAATGCCAGCGCTCAGCATTTACAAAGCCCTAGGTTCAACAATCCTTAGCTCCGCCCTCAAAATCCATATGATCTTTTACAATTCATAATCTGTTATCTTCAAAGGACACACTATTAACTACTACCTAGCTAGAGAGACTTAAAAAGTACATGTAGACCAGGTATAGTGGTGCACACCTTTAATTCCAGCACTCAGGTTGAAGCAGGTGGATCTCTGTAAGTCTGAGGCCAGCCTGGTCTACATAGAGAGTTCTAGAATATCCAGGTCTACACAGAGACACTCTGTCTAAAAATAATAATAAATTAATAAGGTGGTATTTGTTCAAAATAAATAGATTTTCTAGCACACACCACAATGAGGAAGGCAAAGCTCGGTTCTCAAGACATGTAAGGGGGGAAGATGTCAACACACACCGTCCAGGGCAATCATGCTGTTACTCAGCAGGTACACAGGGATGAAAAGAGGGAGGCTATGTGCTGCTGGCACTGGTTCTGATTCATCAAGTAATCATGAGTCAGTGCTTGTGCCTTATCACCTGTGATTACAACACAAATTGGTTATAAACAGTTGCATTCTAAAAAATAGTATGAAAAGAAGACATTAAATTGGATATGGTGATGTATTATGTGTAGTACTAGCTATGCTGCAGGCTGAGGAAGAAGAATCATTTGAGCCCAGGGGTTCCAGGCCAACCTGGACAACAAAAGAGACCTCATCTCAAAAAAAGAAAAACAATAATGTTAAAAACTTCCATATAAGGGGATGGAAAGATGGCTGAAAGATTAAGGCACTTACAGCCTTCCCAGAGTTCAGATCCCAGCATCCACATGGATAGTTCACAACCACCTGTGTCTAGCTCCCAGCTCCAGTGCTCTCTTCTGGACTAGGTAGGTACATACTACATACATTTAAATACACATCTGTACACATGTGCACAACTAGAGATGTTAAGAATTAAAGTCTAGAGTTCTCATGTTCCCCTGTGTTTCTCAGCAAGGAAATTTAGCATGTTTAGATAATGAAGCTGTTTCTAGGTGAGGGGAACTGGGTATGCAAAGTACGGTGGCTGGCACTACCTAGGTCTGAATAGCAATGCTGAAGGCATAATTTAGATCTATTCTGTTCAATGAGGTAACCACTAACAACAAGTGGTTACAGAGCACCTGAAATGTGATTAATGTGAATTGAGATGTAATAAGTGAAAAATACATTCTAGGTTTCAAACATTAAACATGAAAAAGACTGTTAAAATATCCCAGTACTAGTTTTTTGAACTTTTCTTTTTTGTAATTACATATTTAAATACTAAGATTTTGGATGTATTAAAGTGAATAAAATGTTACAAAAATCAATTTCACCCTTTCTTTTTACTTTTTAATGTGGCTACTAGAAAAATTTAAATTACATATGTGGTCTATATCTGTGGCTTGCTTTCTATTTCTATTGGACAGTACTAGTCCAAAGATCTGTAAATAGCAGGCTAAAGCACTTAAACCCTTTAAGCAATCAAACACCATTGAGGATTTCCAATCTAAGTGTTTGTGGTGGATTTGGGAAGGAGCAGAAAACATAGAGCAATCTTTCTGGAAGATTAGTGTGGGGGAAACGTGTAGGGGTGAAACACTAGAGGCAGCTGTCAATGTCAAAGGCAGCAAATGTCAAAGGGCAAGCAGGCTGGAACCTACACGAGGTCTCTAGAAGCAACATGCTGAAGAGAGAAAGAAATCAAAAGCAGCTAAGACAAGGGAAGAGTAACAGGTGCAGTGCTGACCCAGGCTGAAGGACCAGGATGCAATGCTCACTCAACAGGTGCAGTACTGACCCAGCCTCCAGCATGCAATGCTCACTTAACTCAGCAAGCTGAACACAGGATTCTCACATCTATCTTTATGTGGCAAGCTCTCTTAAGAGTGGCATTAAGCAGGCAGTGGTGGTGCACACCTTTGATCCCAGCAGATTAAAGCAGAAGAGACAGGCAGATCACTGACTTTGAGGCCAGCCTGGTCTACAGCGTGAGTAGGTCTACAGGGCTAAAAAGAGAAATCATATCTCAAAAAAAAGAGTGGTATCAAATCCTAGACACTTCCAGGAGGAGGTAGGCAGACAAGGCTATAACAATAAACACTAAGAGTAAAAGCCAAATTCATAACATAACCAAGAACTATTTCCAGGACTCTGCTGTATGCCTGACACTTGGACAGGCTCTGGTGATGGGGCAAACAAAACAGACATGGCCCTAAATCACAAGTTGCTAACAACAAAAATGAACAGGAGCTCTCAGAGACCTGAGCAGGAATAAGGATCAGTGGACAGAGACTGGAAGAAAAGGTCTTCAGAAGCTGGGCATGGTGGCTTACACCTGAAATCCCAGCATTCAGAAGGCTAAGGCAGGACGGTGGCCAAGAGTTCAAGACCAGCCTGGCCAACACAGTGAACTCCAGGGCATCCTGGGATATAGATAGAGAAATTTAAAAAACAAACAAACAAACCAACAACACCATGCAGAAGGGAGAGAGAATGATGAACTGGCTCTTGAGACATGGTGCTAAAGGTCTGTAATTCAGGCACTGGGGAAGTTGAGGCAGAAGGAGCACGAGTCTGAGGCCAGTAAGACCACATAGCAAGACCTAAGGAAATAAATTCTAAAAAAAAAAAATCAAAGAAAAAAGAGCTTCGAAGTACTACATGCAATGAATATGTCAATTAAAAATCAAAAGTTAGATGTATTTCTGATTTTTTTAAGGTGCTTAATTCTAAAACAAGAATGGTCTCAATTTAACATTAAATTCTTAAGCCAGGTACAGGCAACCTTATATTACCAGTGGATTCTCCTTTCCTATCTTTCTCTGTTTCTCAGTGCTCCTTTTGCCTTTCTCCCTCTGGAAAATTTAGGAGGCAAAAATAAAACAAGCAAAAAACAAACAAATAAAAACCAAACAGACCAAAGATTAACCCTAGCTGCATATGTCCTCATCCCTGTAACAATGAAAGTGTCTGCCCCTGCGCCTGAGGTAAGTATTTCAAAAGTAACAGAGAGGGTGGAACATTGTAAGCACGCAACAAATGTTAGCCAATTCTGACATTCGAACAAAAGTATTGCTCTGATTTTAAAACATTTAAGAACTTCTATTTGAGGGTAAGATTTCAAGGGTATGATGGTTTAACACACACTCAGCGTAGACCATTCCCTTACTCTTTTAAGTACCATCAGAAACTACTGCTCAAATAATCAAGTTACGACATCCCTTAAAAAACGGTAAAGATCTAAGCCGGGCCTCTTTAATCCAGCACTCAGGTGGCAGAGGCACGGGGATCTCTGTTCCAGGCTAGCCTGGTCTACGTAGCAGTTCCAGGCCAGCCAAGGCTACACAGTGAAACCTTGTCTCAAGAAACCAAATAAACAAAACAGGAAAACACTGGCAGGCATCCCAACCCTCACCGCTGCACCCCGAGTGGGACAGAACCATCTCACCTGTATTCTGGATACTGGTCAATGTGCCTACCTGGAGGGCCAACTACACTGATAGCCCTCCCACCTACTACAGCGATGCCTCGCACTGCACAGTGCAAGACAACGTCCACTCTCCGTGTCCTCTCTCTCTTTACGACCCGCCATAAACACATACAGTTTTAAGGTCAAGAACTGAACTCTCACACACGGAGAGAAACAGTATTAAACCTTGACAAAGGGCGAGGATGTGCGACTTTTGCTTGCTGCTGTGTTTAACTGTTAAGAACAGACTCATGATGTTTTATTCACGGCGTTTTGGTTGGTACTCTACTCATTGAGTCAAAAGACACATGAGAAAGCATGAAGCTAAAAGTCCCAGATGGGTGACCTGTGTCCAACGCTGCTGTTACTGGGTGTACTTAGCCACTGCTGTGAATTTCGCTGGAGCAGATAGTTAGCCATTGTGGACTAAGAAATCCGTTAGTTTGAAATTAAAGGGCGCCGGAGCAGCGGAAGGTGGCAAACCTTCCCCAGGGCTGTTTCCAACCCTGTCATCCCTCCGCCACTCATTTATTTCTTCGTCCAAAGTGAGCTTCGCCTTGTCCCGCAGACCTTCCCGCAGCTCTCGCGGGATGGCCATGGGACCCCGCCATCAGGTCCCGCACACAAGCCTGCACACCCGCCGCGCGGGGACACCGGATGCTTGCGCCCCACCGCCAGGCAGACTCAGGTCCAAGAGACTCGCAGTCCCGAGGGCCCAGGCGACGACGCGAAGCGGTCGGACAGCCGCTGGCCCACCCGGAAGCCCTTCCTCGGCTCACACCTGCCGGCGCGTGACGCCGGTCTGTCCCTGCCCCGCTACTCAGGACTCCCGGGCCGCCGCGACCGACGTGACCGCGCGTCCCTCACACACCCCTCCCCCGCCTCGCGTCTACGCTACACACGTCGCGATCCCCCACAGCGCGCCCGGGGCGAGCGCCCTGGCCCGCCGCGCCCCCCCCCCCGGCCCTGCTCGCTCCCGCCCCATCCTCCCCGAGCCCCTCCCGCAGCCCGGCTCGCTCCCGTCGCGCGCGTTCGCGAGGACACGCACGCGCTGCGCCTCACCGGGCTCCGCCGCGCCGCGCGCTCCCGAGGGCGTTCTCGGTCGCCCACCCTGGGCGGCCCCGCGCGGCCCGGCGGCTCGCGAGGAAGAGGAAGGCCCGCGCGGCCCACAGTCCCCACTCACCGCTGAGCCGCGCCGGCTCTGAGTGTGCGTCGTTCCGCTGTGAAGCCCAGCGGTGACCGCGGTCTCCGCTTCTCCGCAAGCTGTGGAGGCGATGTCGCAGGGAGGCTGAAAGGCGAGGGGTGTCACGGTCGCTCGCTTCACCTTCCCGAAGCTCGGGGACCCCAGAAACTAAAAACAAAATAAACAAACTTTCCCCTCCGCCTCCCTCCCCCAAAACCACAACACAAACACTCGGGGGCCCGCCCACAGCCACACCTCATTGGCCGCAGGCAGGATGCCTCTGCAGTTCACTGGCTAACTTTCGTGCCAGTCAAACTGCTGTTCCGCCTCTCTTAAGTCCTCGCCGCTGCCGCCTCCCCTCATTGGCTAAGTGCTTCCCGTTTGCCGAGCTGGGGTTGGCTGAGCGGCCTGCGCCAATCATGAGGGGACACACCCCCTCAGCATCCCAGAGGCCGCTTCCTCGCTCGCCGACCCAGAGAGACGAAGGGGAAACTAGAGCATGATGGCGGCCGTGCTCGCCCAGCGCAGACATCATCTTTTCCGTTTTTTAGCTCATGAGTGCCTCTCTCGGGCACTGTTTCTCGTAAGCTCCTTCCTCCATTCGAGACTGCACTAATAACGGAATCTATACGTGCCGGCTCCTTGATTTATCCCCTCCGAAGTGCTCAAGTGGGTTGGTTGTGCGTCATTGGACTGTCAGGATGTCGCTCCCAAGCCACATCCTTAAACTATTGGTGGAACAGCCAGAAAGCGGCCAGCAACAAGGGCCCATGCCATTGGTTTGATTCCACTGTTTGTTTGGGTTTTTTTTTCCTGGCATCTTATTGGGCACTTCGGAGTTGTCCGTCAGATCCGTATTCGCCGCCCTGCTGTTTAGCTGAGGGGGTGTGGGTGTCTTTGGTCCTTGGTAGTTGACAGTAATAACTACTGTCATTTATTGTGGATGTATTTTATGCCAAAAACGGTGCTGAATTCTTTACAGAAACTATCCGATTACACCCAAATTTTCACAGAAAGCAAGGCCAAAGAAGGTTTAAAAACGTACCCAAGGTCACTCATTTAGAAAGGAGTTGTTTGGCCATACACTGATGCTTAGGCCTGTCTGACTCAACAGTCTTCACTCGTTTAGCTATGCGTTAGTGCCTCTGAATAGTACCTGATAGTCAACCCAACATCATAAAACTGTTTCTTTCAGAACCCAGGGTCCTTATGCAGTTTCTGACAATAACATTAATGGAGACTAACAATGGAACGATTGTCATAAACATTATTGGAGACTGTAACTTCGGAGAGATTGTCATTTTCTCCGTGACATCTTCTCCTAGGATCCATTCTTCCCCTTCTCAGTTAAACAATAAATATTTGCCGACAAGAAGTACATGTAAATCTATTTTCAGTTTCTTTGGCTTTGTAAATGACGATTTTTACCATTCGTATGTGCCAAAGCAATCTTCACACCCATCGCTGACCATCTTTAGCATGTTCCTGTGGAAAAAATATCCCAGAGTTGGAAATGATGAGAAATCAAGTCTAGAGTGAGATACAGAATAAATCCCTTTAGAAATAATTGATTGCATGCAAATGGAGCAGTCTTCTGACTCCTGGAGAGCTTCCAGAGTTGCTGATGTCCAGCAAGCCATGCGTGTACTCCTGGCTTCTGGCCACGGGATTCTTTCTCTGTGACAGCTTTTATGGAAGTGAATCCACATTTCGAGCAGGGGAGGGCAGGATGCTTAGGACCCACTCACTAGCAGAGTGCCAGCCCCAAGCCTCCGAGACTGTAATGATCTCCAGGAGCACACTGATGGACTCTGGCCCACATTTCTTCTCAGGTAATTAACATTTTACCATCCCAAATCCCTGTCCCTTGTAGCTGAAGGGGGATCATAGGCCTTGTTTCCCTTCCCTATCCAAGCAGTTGTGTAATCTCATTGGCACTATTTAGCAATAAAACAGCCATGTAACACAGTAATAAACTCAACACTTACAGCCTTTCGGCAGAGGAAGACAAGGTATTTCACAAACATCAATTAAGAGTAAATGGCAGGTTTCCCTAGGATAATTCGAGGACAGGAGGGAGATCATAAGTCAAATTCTAAGAAAGAACTTAAAGACAAGGAACCTGATAACTCCATGCACAAAGCTCATATTAGCATTCAAAATGGGGATTAGGAACCAGAAAACAGAATGAGAAATGTCGAGGGTTCAGAACCTTCCAAGCCCTCCAAGTTGATTGTTTTTGTATCACTTGAAAATATTTACTTCTTACCCGGGGGGGGGGGGGGGTGGGGGGGTGGGGGTGGGGGGGGAGGCAGAGGCAGGCGGGTCTCTGTGAGGTCAGCCTGGTCTACAGAGCGAGTTCCAGGACAGTTAGGACTGTTACACAGAGAAACCCTGTCTCAAGAAACCAAAAATAAAATATTTACTTCTAGGGACTGGAGAGATGGCTTGGTGGTTGTGATCACCGACTGCTCTTCCAGAGGACCCAGGTTCAATTCTCAGCACTCATATGGCAGCTCACAACTGTTTGTAACTTATGCATGTGGGGTACAGATATTTACAGGCAAAACACTAAGACACGTAAATAAAAATATTCATTTACATGTATGTAGATCTGTATCTGTGTGAGAGTATGCCATCATGTGTGCATTGCCCATGGAGTTTAGAAGAGGACTCCTGGTCCCCTGGTACTGGAGTTAGAGGTCACTATGAGCTGCTCCCAACATTGGTGCTGGGAGTCAAAATCAGGTCCTCTGCAAATGCCGCAAATGTTTTTAACCACTGAGCTGTTCTCGCCATCCCCTGTACCTCTGTCTTAACCTTCAAGATAATGTTTGGTTTTATATGAGTTATTGGGCAAATCTCAGCTGCAAGTTCCTTGAAATAGTTTTATTTTTCATCTTTGTGTCCCTTATATTGAACTGTCTATAAAAGATTCCCCAATAAATGATTGTTCAGAAATTACTTAGTGAGTTTGTTAAGAACTTTCCTAAGGCCAAAGGATTGCTCCACAGATAAAAACACCTTGCTTGCTGTCAGGGACCTCAACGTTGTAGGATGAATAACGAAAACACAGTGTAGTGCTGTGATACAGTGTCCTGAAAGAACACTAGAGGGATTGGGGACCCAATCTTGGAAGAATAGAAGTGACATCTATAAGAACTACAGGACAGTCAGGCAATGATGGCACACACCGTTAATCCCAGCATTTGGGAGGCAGAGGCAGGCAGATCCCTGTGAGTTTGAGGCCAGCCTGGTCCACAGAGCGAGTTACAGGACAGGCTTCAAAACTACAGAAAAACTCTGTCTCGAAAAAAGAAAACAGAACAAAAATACAGGAAAAATGTGCTTAGCCAGGAAGAGACTGGTGACAGGTGGTGACCTACTATATCTGCTTGGGGAGGGGGAGGGTAAAGAGAACTGTTGGAACATTCAGGAGTGGCCCAAGTCTGTTCTTCCTATAATCTTTGTCTTTGCCATTTCTAAATAGGATTTTTTCTGATTATAGAACTAATGTTGAAAAGCTGAATATAAAGGCACATACCTGTAATCCCAGCATTTGGAAGGCTGAGGCAGGAGGGTAGAGAGTTCAAGGACAGCCTAGACTGCATAGTAAGACTCTTGTCTCAAAAAAAAAAAGGTCTGAAAAGTAACACTGAATAAATGGAACATTTGCTCTACACAATATGAAATGTTTTAAAGTAAGAAAAAAAACCACTTCCCATAATCCTATCCTATCCTATAACCACCCACCCACAGAGGAGCATGCCTTCCTGTGGTCTTTCAGGAACAGAGGCACACATAATTTATCTTTGAGCAAAGAGCTGGATATGATGCAGTCTAGTCTGGATGCTGAGACCCCTCATTTCTCCAAACTACAGCTTTGGCCAGAATTTGTCCTCGCTTTCTATACAGAGAGGAAGGAAGCCAGTAAATCAATAAAATATTTATGATGGAAGACGAAGGTTTCAAATTCCTGCTGGAGTCAATATCAGGATTTTTGGGCTTGCTGAGCCTGGTGAGAAGGTAGAGTTAATGAATTGGTCCAAGGTGTTTCCTGAGCTCACTGTTATTGCCAGAGGACTTCCCAGCATGCTTTGGTGGCTGTGGAATCAACTGGAGCTCAGAAAAGCAGTCCAGGCTAGCATATTCTATGTTCTCTTCATTTCCTCTCAGCATGCCACTTGGAGAAAAATAATTTTTGTTTGTTCCAACCCACCCAGATTTGAAAGCAAAAAGAATCCTTAGCCCTGCATATTTGCATGCTGGCCACGTGCACTGTGTTCTTAGAGCCCTGTACTATTCTGGGAGCTTTGTATATGGTGTTCTATAAGTTGGCTTTCTGCTGGAGGAGAAGGCAGATTTAATGAGTGATAGTTTCCTTGGATGGCTACCAAAAGTATTCCCAGCCACCCCAAGCAACAGACTTCCTTTATGTCCCTTGAGAGACTGTGCTGTGGTCTCTGCCCTTAACCTGGACAAGATCCAAACCAATAGGAACTTTTGCAAATGATTCTGCAATGACCCGCAGGCTTGGGACAGTTATGGCCAGCTGGATGTACTCCAGTTCTGACTTCTGCGGCACAGGCAAACACTCTCCAATACTTTGGCCTTTCAATGCTCTGAGACATTTGGCAAAGTTTGCAAAGCATTCCCAATTCTCAAAGCTCATAACAATGAGGTGATCTCTGTAAAGGAACCTAATCCAAAAGTCAAGGGGACAGCTGACAGCTGAGGCTGATTACTAGAGCACAGGGAGTGTGGTAACCAATAAGCAGGAGCAATGGGGGAGGGGAACATGCTGGAGGGTGTGGATGACAGAGGACATGTTCAGAGGTATTTATTACGTGCCTGGTAGCATCTATTATGCAACAAAAGCCTTCAAGGTAGACGCCGTGCAGCTTCCAAATCACCTGTAGGTTTTATGGCTGCATTTCTTGAAAAGCTGCTCAGCCAAGAAGTGGACAGTGAACCCTTCGGGTGTGTTGGCCAATTCTAGACACAGAGTAGCTCACAGAGAACCTGAAGATATAGTTATTCATAACACCCTTGCCATTGACACATGCTGCGAGTTAGTCATTGTACCAAGGGCTTTGCTTGGATTACAGCAGTTAATCAACCCCCACGATAGTTCTCATTTTCCAGATAGGAAAACAGAGGCACTGGAGGGCTAACTGGTTCTAGTTTACCACAGGCAGTAACTGAAGCCAGGCAGTCTGACTTAGATAGTACGCTCTTGCAGCTGGAGAGGTAAGTCCCTACTGGAATAGTTGACTACCTACCCCCCAGCCCCCACCCCCCCTACACACACCCTGCCCCGACTCTCAGCCAACCTGTTGTTTCCCTATCTGTAAAAGTCTTGCCGCTTCCTGGCTAAGTTACGCCCTCTGGTGCCCTTTTCTTGCATTCCAACTGGGACCCAGCTTTCCTCTTCAAAGACTTCCTTCCTCTGTGTCCTTGTCCCAGCTTCTTAGATACTACCTTGTGACCCTCTCCACCTCCACTGCTGTTCCTTTCTTCTCTAACCCTGGCTTTCCCTAACTTTGCTGAAGCCAGTTTCTCTAAGCTCATCTATAACCTGTTCCGTGGCCAAGATCCAAGAGACTTTCCCAGTCCCGTTTCCATGGCTTCACCACTATGTTTTACTCTGAGAATTCGCTCTTTCTTCACTTCCCAAAATAGCCAGCTTTCCTCCCACCTCTACAACTGTTCATGCTCTTTTTTTCCTGCCATCTCTTTCTGTAGGCTCTTTCAAAGGACCTGCATGTTCTTCAGGCTTTCTGTCAGCAAGTGCTTGGTCCTTATCCTACCTTCCCCTCTCAGGTCACTAGCCTCCTTGTGCAAGAATATATTAAATCCGATTTGTTATTCTTGACTCTAAGATAATGATATGACCTAACTTTTAAAACTTTTAAATACAGGGTCTCATATATCCCAAGCTGCACTTTGATTGCCCGTGTAACTGAGAATGACCTTGAACTTTCGAGTTCTTGTTTATTTCCTGAATGCTGAGATTACAGGTGAAAGCCATATTGCCCGGTGTATAAAGTGCTGGGGATGAATCCCAAGGTTCCATGCTTGCTGGGCAAACACTTCACCAAGCTCCATCTCTAATCCCAAACATAGCATTTGCAAACAAAGATTTTGCCAGACAGGGCTGCCTTTTTATACATACATAAATACATACATAATTTATAAGGAAATTTCATAATTTATAATTATAATTCCATAATTTATAATGAAAACTCAATGATTTATTTTTTAAAATTTTGAAGTTTTTTTCAAGATAGCGATGGCAGGATATTAAAGAGGAACACATCACTTTCTGAGTGTGGGGCTGTGGGGGACATGAAGCTGGCCATCATGACAAGCATGGGTCACGTGAGCTTATTTGTCCATGTGAAGAAAGGAAGACAACAGAGAGAGATTAAATAATTGCCAAGGCCACGTTGATTTTAATTAATGAAGGTGGAAAACAACCATCACTACTACCACCACCACCACACCACCACCCCTAAAACTAAACACACTTACCATGTCTGCCTGTCCAGGCTGTGTGAGAGTCTTGAGAAAGCATCCGCCCCAGAAGCCCTCAGCCTGGTGCTGGCACCCTTTCCTCTAGTGTGTTGTCTGTGTTTTCCCGTAGTTCATCATGTTCTAGTCTCCTTGTCCTGTGAATCTGGACTTCTTTTGTTATTGTTGTTGCTTTTTTGTTTGCTTTTTGAGACATGATTTCTCTGTACCTTTGGAGCCTGTCCTGGAACTAGTGCTTGTAGACCAGGCTGGCCGCAAACTCAGAGATCCACCTGCCTCTGCCTCCCAAGTGCTGGAATTAAAGGCGTGTGCCACCACCTCCCGGCTTGTTTCTTTTTTTTCTTTTCTTTTTTTTTGTAAATGAGAACTTTCTTAAAGCTCTGTCTAAACACCCCACCCCCACCATTATAAAGGCCCACACACACTCACTCCAGCTTTGCCCTGCACATTCTTTGTGTCCCTGGGTGGAAACAACCCTACCCACAGGCTGGCCATAAGGGTTAGTTAAACCCCAAAAGCACTCAGCCGTCATTGCTCACTTGAGGCAATCCCAGAAGGCTTAAGGGAAATGGCTTCATATCCCTTCCACTCAAAGCAGCTTGCTGTCAGGAACAGAGAAGTCTTGGGGACATATACTGTGTCTGAGTCTTCAACTGTGCTTCCAATTCTAAAAGATTTTCTCTAGGCTTTTCATGGTTCCCTCGGGAGTATTTCAGGAACCACTTCCTCCTTCACAGATTCTCCTCTGAACTCCACACCCAGGTCAAACGCCTTCTCTGTCTTCTACACTCCTTCAGTTTCATAATACTGGTCCTCCTTTGTCCTTGGGTCCAGACCAGCTCTGTCTTAACAGTGCCTGAGATACAATGAGTTCTTGGTGAATTGTTTTTATTTTAAACAAAAGTGAACATTAAAGCTCTGGACTCTTGCATGCCCCTTAGCACAGGGCAGGCACCTAATGGGCATATCTGCAAACATATGAAATGGAGAGAAACCAACAACAGCTCTTGAGTTTTCTTTTAGAGGGGAAACGAGGGGATTCCTCTCAAGAGAACAATGGCACAGACTTCAAAGGTGGTGTCTGAGAGTCAATGGGAACATGAGTGTGAAGGAGTGCCCTGGGTTAGGTGCCAGCAAAGTAGTGTTTGTGGTCCCAATCCAGCCTGCCACCTGCCACCACAGCCTATGAGATCAGGATGGTTTGAACATTTTTATTATATTTCTGGTGCTGGAATTGGGCCCAGGACCTGTAGAATGCCAGGCTCATGGTCTACAGTTTAGCTTTATAGCCTCAGCTTGTGTTTTTACATTTTAATTACATTCTTTTAATTTTTAATTACATATATGTGTATGTTTGTACATGTGTGTGTGCAGGTGCCTGCAGAGGCCAGCAGACGGAGTCCAGTCCCCTGAAACTCTAGTTACAGGTGATTGTGAGCTGCCTGATGTGGGAGCTGAAACTCAATCTTGACTCCTCTGGATGGGCAGCAAATGCTCTTAACCAACAGCCATCTCTCCAGCGCTGAGCTTCTACATTTTTAAATAACCAAACAAATTACTGTAACGATCTATTTCATGGTAATGTGACATTTTCAGTTCCCTTAGTTGTACAGAAGCCGTTGTGTCCATTTGTTTGTGTAGCTACTTTAGTGCTACTCTGTAGCTAAGACAGGCACAACGTCTGAAGATCCTAAAAGCTTTGTGTGTGTGTGTGTGTGTGTGTGTGTGTGTGTGCGCGCGCGCGCATGTGTGTGTTGGGGCACAGTCTCACTATGCAGGTCCGGCTTGCTTAGGACTTGCAGCGATCCTCTCAGCCTCGGCCTCATGAGTGCTGGGATTAGAAATGTGTGCCATCAGGCTCAGTCAAAGCCCAGAGTATTTCCTCTGACCCTTTACAGAAAGAGCCTGGCCATCTGCGCTAGAGAGGCAGGATGCAAGCTGCCAGCTGGCCACAAGGTGTCAGCCGTCCTCCACCAGTGCTGCCATCCACAGGGCTCCTCAGGAGTCACCAGGGCTCTTGGGGAAGGCTGGAGGCTCCTCCCTGTACAGTAGCTGTGGGGCAGTCTGGCAGTCACTGGCAGAGAAGCTAGGCAAGTAGGTAGATGCCTGAGAATTTGGAGTTTATGGGAGAGGGGTGAATGCAGGGCTGTGTGGTACTGAGTGGGCCAGCTTCTTGAGTACAGAATACTGTCTTTGGTTCAAGCTTTATTTGTATTTTGCATATTTACAGTATTCGCCAGACAAGCTAAAATTGTCCGTTTCACCCACAACTATTAGTCAAGAGAAATGAGATTTTCTTGAACCCGCTGCCTTCTGAGGTGAGGACGTGGTACACTCGAGTCCTTGTCCAACAGTGCACAAACAGAAGCTTTGACAGTTTTCTCCACCCCTGGGCCTTGAGACTTCCTCCAGGTGAACTAGTACTCAGCCCAGTGTGTCAACCAAGCACCCCGAGCTTAACTGTTTGCCAGGGTGCGGGAACAGGAAGACGTCACAAAATCCTTCTGGAAGTTCCAAGCCTGAATGCTCTCCTGCTAGATGTTTTATCTTGGTGGGTGTCTTCCACGCAACATATAAGGAAATCCAAATTCTAGAAGTAAGGCTGTTGGGCACCTAGCCATGTAGTGGAAGAGCCAGGACTCTGTCTGGGACAGCCTAGTCTACTTCACGCCCTCATGAAAGTCACCACAAGCAGCACGCATTCACTCTGCTTTCTTTTCTTGTTGGTTTTTGGTTTGGTTTGGTTTTTCAAGGCAGGTTCTCACTATGTAGCTCTAGCTGTCCTAGAACTTGCTCTGTAGACCAGGCTGGCCCTCAAACTTGCCGAGATCCACTTGCCTCTGCCTCCCAATTGCTGGGATTAAAGGTGTGCGCCACCACCTCCTGACTTCATCCACTCTGCTTTCAAACCTTGCCTTCCTCAGTCACTGTGTGTCGCTAGGCCTGGCACCCAGTAACTATCCACTTGCTAAATAGCTCACTGCAGACAAGCAGTGAGTTGCCCTTCCCTATTCAGTCGCCTAACCACCAAGCTGCCAGTGGGGAAATGTAAACCACAAAGCAAGATCTTTGGCATACAATGGATTCCTTTAGGATCATGGGTACTGTGGACATGCCTCCTGTTTCTGCCTTTTGTGCTTTTCCTTCTGCAGGCTCCCACATGCTTGCCAGCTTTCATGCCAGGTCCTAGCTCACTTCCTATGCCATAGGCATCTGTTCCTGAAGCTGCTTTTGGGCGTCTTCAGACTGCCTCAGCTTCTAACCAGTTTCCTGGACAAGAACTTGTTTCTGAACGGGTGTCATGGAAAGGTGGAGAGACAGTGCACTAGGGCATCACTATAACTGGACTCCAGTCTTTCCCACAGAGTGGGGGTAGATTTGGACTAACCTGCCAATGTCAAGGTCTTTCTCAGTTTCTCTCGGAAAGGACTCAGATATGTAGTGTGAATGATGACCATACACATGTCACCATAGAGCTTGTACATGTGGAGGTTTGAGAACAACTTTTGGGAGTCGGTTCTTTTCTTCTACCTTTAGTTCCAGGGATTGAACCCAGGCCACATCCTTGTACAGTAAGTGTTTTCACTCACTGATCAATCTTACAAGCCATCCAATTTTCAACCACTTAACCAACAGATATTAAGAAGATACTATGGTCATGACATTGAGCCAGACAGATGTGGCCTTTGTGCCTAAAGCCTGGCCAAGGAAGAATAGGCACCTATCATACCAGATGGTAGAGTATGTAGCACGTTCCCTGCTCCACAGCTGGGCAAGCTGGGAAGCCTGGGGCTAACCCCATGAGGCCGCCGGGTCTGCCCTGGGATTTCTTGGCCTGTTAACACTTGCTCGTCTGCACCTGCCACCTCTTGCTTTTCTCTGGCGTGCATTCTTCCTACCTTGGTCAGGTTCAACCCACTGAACCTACTCTGAAGCAAATCTCGTGCCTTTGGAAAAGCAGTACATGACTCGTGACACCCACTGGGCCCTGTGGGGAAGAAGACATGAGGGCAGGGAAGTGCCAGGTGATACACTGCAGCCATGGCACAGGCGGGGCCACTTGCTGCAGACAGGGGCTTCGTGATGTCTACTCAGACTGTCTGCCTCCCTCGAGTTTGGAAGTTCTTTTGCTGTCAGCGCTAGCTCTTTTTTGGAGGGGGCCACTCCTGAACACATGTAGGTATGTCCCATGTTGCTTACCATGGCTGAGACTGAAGGAAGGGGAACAGATTGGGAGGAAATCTGACAGAGGGCGGAATGGAAGGCAGAGGTGTGTACACAAACACCTGTTCTTGGGAGAACAAGGCAGTGAAGTGTTAAACACACCTGTTCTTGGGAGAACAAGGCAGCGAAGTGTTAAACAAGGTAACTAGGACAAAGGTGGAAGATGTTGCAGAATGGAAAATCTTAGGCAAGTCAGCCAACCTCAGAGTCAAAACTCTATGCCAAATTCTCATGAGGTAAAGTTGGGTGCGATGTCGCACACCTGTAACCCAGCATTCAGGAGGACTGAGCGGCTGTTGGAGGCCAGCCTGGGCCACATCCTATGTTCCCAACAGGTTCTGCAGCGTTGGCCTCGAGTATGCTTGTGATGCAGATTTGGGGATGGTGGTGAGCCTGCACAAGAGACTCTATCTTCAGCCAGCCTTTGTAAGGCTCATGACTAAAGCATGCGGTGAGTGGCTCAGCGACAGCAAAGCAGTACGGTAGGGAAGAGCATTCTCCCTCCGGCTGCCTGTCCAGAAGGGCTGGCTCAGGGGCGGGGTGAAACAGGCTAGCTTCCCTCACTGGGAAGAGAGAAGATGGCCTCAACAGAATTGCTTGAGAACAGAACAGAACAGAGCAGGTCTCTTACCTGGTCTTAGGCGACCACTCTTTACACGGTCATTTCTTATCTCCAATGTAGTTTAGGGGCCTTGCATTCCATGTCTTCAAGGTGACAAGCGCAACAGAGGTGTAACAGGCCACTTCCCATGTCACCTGCCTCCCCTTTCCTCTAGAATAAGCACATGACACACTGCCGGCCTTGTTTCAGAAAGCACTTACCAGAAGTGTTTAATCCTCACAAAAGGTTGGGAAGCCATGGTGGGGCTCCTTGCCCACTCCCGGAAGCTAACCTCATGAACAGAGTGGACGCTGGGCTGAGACCATCCTTATTTTCCCTTTTATTCCCCACCAGCCAGGAAGCCAGACACAGGCATAGGTCACCATGTATTGCCCCACTTCTACAGCCCACAGTGCCCCCTCCCTGCCTCTCACTGGCTGCCTTTGCAGATGCCTGTGTCCCTCCCAGTACTAGTGGTACCCAAGGGCTTTTCCGAAAGAAAAGGGGACATAAGCTTGGTTTAGAGGAATGGAAAGGCTTCTGTGTGGCCCTTTGCCCTCTGTCATTCTGTCTGCAGTTAGATAGTGTCTTTTGTGTCAATGTTCACTCTCCCTCAGCCTGGACAATTCACTGTGTGGGGAGGTGGCAGTGGGGCTGGTTGTCCTGGCCTAGTACTGTGGCAAATTAGGCCACCCTGTTTTAGAGAAACCGAGGTGTCTAAGAACAGCCTGACATTTCGCAGGAGGCTAAGGCTAGTCTTTGGCTGAAATTTCACTGAGGAAGCCCTAGTGTGTGAAGGCCACACAAATGCTCAGGGAGGAACCGTCACGAAACACAAATGCTCTTGTCTCCTGGGCCCAGCCTTCTCCCCTGCACCCCCATCCTTCACAGGGCCTGTAAACAAAAGCCTACTGAAAGGCGCAGGCATGGGGAAAGGCGCTCTGTGGAGCCCCAGTTTTCCATGGCACCAGCCAGGGAGGCCCAGGGCACTCAGGGCCAGGCTGGCTACAGCAGTGCAGGAGGGAAGGGGCTCTTCACCACCGTCAGATCCTGCTACTACCAAAGGAGGCCAAAGTAGCACCATCCCCAGCCCATTCCACTCAGAGACTAGTTCAGGTGCCAGCCGGAATAGGTGTCCCTAAGGCCATATCAGCTGCATTGGGAACACGGCTAGAGCAAAACTGGCTCTGAGTCCCATCTTCGTCCCTTTTCCCGCCAACCTCTGGGGTATGGGGAACTGGACAGCACCAGAAGTCCAACAAAAAGCCAAGTGGCTGGGGCTGCTTTGGATATCCTGTCCTCCAAGGTAGGAAGAATGGCAGTTGTCCTGTAGGGCAGGGCTGGCCCAGTGGAGGGGAAGTTGGCATAAAGGAGAACAGATGCTAGCCAGGCTTCTACTTCATATAAACAAGGTAGCAGTGTTCCTTTTCCGGCCATAGCAGTCTGCTGAGGATGGTGATGGTTGAGATCCTGCCATCTGGGATTCAGATCTTAAGACCAGGGTGGAGACTGCAGGGTAGGAGACCTGGTTAGGTTCTGATGTGTGAACCAATGCAGGGTATAGGCCATGCTCTCCCAGCATAGGACAGGATGGGTGGGCATCTGCAGGTTCCACCCACCACTATCCTGCAGCTCAGGCGATCACACAGTTGTTGGGCTTGGTAATCCTAGGAGTCACTTTACCTGTGGAGACAGGGCACAGATGTGGAAGGCATAAGTAGCAAGTTCAGTGAGTTTGCCACAAGCCCAACCTCGAGCCACCCCAATAAGCAAGCTGGGAGCCAAGGACTAATGCCTCTCTGCCAAGCTGCTGGTTCAGGTCAACAAGGCACCCAGGAAAGCAAAGGTACTCTCTGTTTCAGCAGCCTTGCCACAACTGGAAGAGTCCCGTGACTAGAGACATTAAGTGGTCTGTGTCTTCTGACCAATGATGACAGGGACTCTGGAGTCCTATCACTAGCAGCTGAATGCTGTAGGCAGCTTCAGACTCTCAAAGTGAAACCAAGGGCACATGCAGGGGTCCTAGAGGGCATGGGCAGCAATGATGAGAGCCGGAACCACTTGCCTTACTGAGAGCTGAAGCAGTAGCCCTGACCCTGAAGTGGTCAGTGCCAGTGCCAGCCCCTGGCCTTCCTGTCCAGTGTCAGCTCCTTCTGCCACTCAGGTAGCTGAGTTAGAGAAAATAAGCTATGCCAGGGGAGGGCCAGCTGCCCTGGTGGGCAGTGTGGTCACATGCTGGGGGGCGGCCAAGGCAGAGGATGGAACAGCACAGTCCTGGGCTGCAAAGGCTGCCTTTCTCTAGGCTGCCCCTTCCTCCTCTCCCGGGCCTCTACAACTACTTCTACCTCCTTTGCGATTCCAGGAAAAGATGCCAACCATTTTCACGACAGAATCCTGCTCTAGACTCTGGGGCAGGGGGGAGGCGAGCTGTGAGGCCGGCCTGACACCTCTGACTGGCCCTGGAGCACTGGACAGTTGAAGGTAAAGTCCACATCTTCAGAATGCCGCTGGCTGCTTTCTCCCAGGTGGAAAGCACTGTGTTACTTCCTGCCCAATCCCCTTAGACAACAAAGACAATTTCCCTGGTGCTCACACCACCGTCCCTATCACTTCAGCTGTGAACTTTATTAAGGTAACGACTACGTCTTGTGTGTTGTAGTAGCAGAGAGGCCCTGGGCAGGGATAGACCCGGAACTGTGGTGCAGCAGCCCCTCCGTGAGTCCCCATGCCTGTTGAAGGCCACACAGCCCAGGTACGCTGTCCCTGGTCTACTAGTCACTGCCTCACTGGGGCTACAATGAACTCACTCCTCAGGACTTACTGCAAAGCCAGCCGAGCCCTTCCTGGGTATGCCTAGAATGAGGTAGAACAGGAAACCAGTGGCCTTCTGTGGTGGTGCCGAGGGCTGTGTCTGGTGTGGGTCTGTGAAGGTCATTAAATTCTAGTACCCTCGCTGCTGCAGCAAGAATGGGTGCATGGCTCCCACTTGCTCTCCTCAGTGGCCTTTTCTGTTTGCGTGGCCTGCTAAGTGGATACCCAGTGTCTCCCCAGAGACAGCAGCACTTGAGGGCAGGTAAGTAAAATCAATCTCTGGATTCAGAAGCAGGGCAGAAGTACGGGAGCACCCCGAGCCTGTGCCTGCCAGGTTCTTCCCAGAGAAGGTGGTCTTTAGCAGGCCCTGACCCTTCCATTTGTAGGGCTGGATGCCAGTCTGGAGCTACTCCTTGTCTTCAGGATTCATTTCTAGGACTCTGACAGAGAAATAGGCTTAAAGGGAAATTCTTAGTGTTCCATCCTTCCTTCCATGCTCATTCACCAGAAAACTGCCAAAGGCAGATGCCTTGCACCCACTCAGATCAATGTGGAAGAATTACACCAAATGCCCAATTTCTTTTTATGAAGTATGTGTGGCAGGGAAGTGAGTGGCCCAAAGAAGACTTATGTGAGAAAGCCACCTACAAAGAGGATTAGCCCTGAAGACCGGAACAGGAATGAAGAGCGGTAGGAACGGGTCATGGTGTGCAGGAGAGTGGCACAATGGAGGGACTAGAATGTGACAGCCTGGGTGGGTGGCACAGTGGAGAGCAGGCAAGATGCTTCAAGAGAAGGGGAAAGTCACAACAGGACTGTGATGACAGTAACCCCCCCCCTTCTTGTTGCTGTTAGGGCTCCACATTCTTTTTGACTGGAACATTCCTTCTCCGACGTCCATGTGTCCATTTGAAGTTTTGCTCTAGTGCTCCTCAATCAGTGAGGCCTCCTCCGTTCACCCTGTATCACACAGTTACGATACTCCCGCCCTCAACCGTCTCCAGGGTAATGGGTGCCACAAGGGCTTTCGTTCATTCCATTCCCTGATTAATTTAGGACAGTGCCTCACAGAGCCAACATTTCAATACCATATTCTTATTGGACAAAACAAGTAAGCAGACAGCGGTTAGCTCTTTGGAGCTCAGAGCAATACAAACAACACTGGGTGATGCATGCTCACCTAGTACCATTCTAAGAGAGAAACCAGAGGCCCAGACAGCCTCAGAGGAACTGGGAAGACAGACAAATTGTTTGGTCTTCTAAGAACAGCACAACCCAGTTAGAGAGCTGACTGGGGAGCTAAAAACATTTGTTCTTTCAGAGAACCTGAGTTCGGTTCCCAGCACCACATGAAGGGTCACAAACATCTGTAAATCTAGTTCCAGAGGATCTAGTGCCCCGCTTTGACCTATGCAAGTGCCAGGCACACATGCATCTATACACACAGATCAACGGTCATACCCACAAAATAAAATAAATCATACATATATGAACTGTACAGCTGCCTAATCTTTGAAGCAGAGTAGCCTACCTCATCCATGTAACCAGAACCCCCTGTTGGTCCCAGGATCCAGGATAATCACATCTGACTACAGAGTCCACACACCAGCTGGGGCCTGACCCATGCTCCTCAGGAGCAACACCTGATAGTCCCAAGAGCAGGCCACAGGTCCACAGCCTGAGAGCAATTCCCCACTAGTCCACCCCTGGTGAGGACTCAGATTTCCAGGTAAGCCAGCCAAGATCACCTGCCCCACAGGCAACATAGAGGAGCCTGAAGTCCCTGTATTCAGGAGCCTTGCAGCCACAGGTCTAAAATCGGAGACAGCATCACAGGCCTTTCAGTCTCCACAGAAGCAGGAAATGATACCACCGCTAACCTTTAGAGGCAGCTGCAGCCGCTTTGAGGCGGCCCTGGGAGGAAGAGACCCCCTTTCTTCCTAGCCTGTCTGTGGACATGGGGTTGGCCCTTCTGGAGTTCAAGGATCTTGTAGGTGGGTTGCCACCATCAGGCAAACACTTGCAAAAACCTTCTGAGTTCTGAGTGACAGCATTTCACTCCATGTCCTCTTTAACACTTGAAATTGTCCAAGCATGTCTCAGGAGTTTAAAAACAGCACCTAGAACCTCCCCTCTAGGCTAGTGACTCCCCGAGGGCAGGGCTTTGCCTGAGTCTCCTGTTAACTAACTGTATTGGTGCTGGTCTGGAGACACCTCTGCACTGGAGAGCTTTGCGGGCAAATCAATGCTCCTGTTCAAAATGCAGTTATCTACATTCAGAACTTCATGACCCGCTAGTGCATCGGTTACCATGTGTCGTATGAAGCAAACAGGGAAAGGCAGCTCTTCTTCCACTGTGCCGCTGCTGCCACCATATTCTAACCTCACAAGAGTGTGTTCATGTGTTGGAGATTCTGAAATCCACTCACTATTTTGTTACACTAATTTCTTTGATACTGGCATTCCTATGTTATGCTTCTGATTTAATTTAGTGTTTAATTTTAAATTCTTGGCAGTGGGGATTGGTTAAAAGATGAAATGGATCTTCATGGCAACAGCTGTGATAAAAAGCTCTCGTTTCCAGAACTGTTTTTTTTACTGTCAGCACCACTAGCATTCCACATTTTGCTGAACGTCATCAATTCCTTAGTCTTTACCAATATGGTGAATGCCACCCAGAGAATGATACATTTAGTTGACTAAATCCTGTTTCATAGTGGTTTTTTAAAAAATGCAGATTTCTGAGCCCAGCCCAGTAGCGCAGACTCTATTCACAGGATTTTAAACAACGGCCCCCAGCTGCGCTCTCCTGAGACTGGGACATCTCTGCTCCCAGAGAGCCTGCCCAGAGGACCTAGATGGGCTCAGGTGGCAAGTGGCCAGAAGGCAGGAGCTCATAACCCAGTGCAGATTAGGTTTAGTTAAGAGGGAAAAAAAAAAAAAAAAAAAATGGCAAAGAACACCCAGCTTCAGCCACTAGAGGGGGCTCTGGGTCTTCAAACTGCCAGGCTGATTCCATTGTGCACCCTCCCACCCCAGCCCCAAAGGAGGCGATTCTGTGAGATTCTCCCCAGGGCCACACCTGGGTTTGCAAAACTTTGCATGCTGTTTGACAACTATATACTTCTTATCAAGCAATTTTACAGGCTGTCAGCTCTCGGCTTTTCCTATCTTTCTCTCTCTCACCCACCCTGTCATCCACCCACGTTCTCTCTGACAAGACGGAGCAGAGACAGATAGGACATTCAGCATCAACTCAAAGGGACCTCAGAAGCCCTCCCTAGTTTATCCCTCCTTCTCTAGAAGAGGAGACAGCCCTGGAGAGGGAAGGGCAATGTGTCAGGAGCTAAGATCATGCCACCACTGTCTGTTACAGCATGAGTGCTCCCTGTGGGAAGGGGATTCCTTCCCTGGATGGGTTCCTTCTCTGAGGAGAAAGCTGAAATGGTTCCAGCCCATCGCAAGCTCCAGCTGGCCCAGGGTGGGGGCCCAATCTGCATTGTTAGGTGTATAGTCAGCAACTCAGTGGCTGCCTAGGTCTTGGGAGGTGTAGGTGTAAAAGGGTCTTTGGGAGAAAAAACTCGGCTTCTCAGCTCTGCCTTTGAGCAAGAAAGAATCAGGGGCCAGAGGTCTCAGTAGAGAGCTAGGATTTCAGGGCCTTGGTGGGGTGGCAGGGTGTGTGTGTGTGTGTGTGTGTGTGTGTGTGTCTGTTTGTGCTACCTCTACATTCTTCCCCAGGATGGAGGAAGGGACGACACAGTTCAGACTTTATGTGTGTTAGCCACTCTTACCCTAGTCCTTCTGCTCAGGGACTGGGTGCTCTGGAGCAGGAGCTCCCAAAGGCACAATGGGGTCGGCTTGTTGGCTCCAGGGCAGTGTACAAATGCTCCGAGATAAGGAGCAGTGGCAAACACTAACTGTCCAAGTCATCTAAGCAGGGGAATCTGACACCAGAGGCACTAGGAAGGGACAAGACAATGGTCTTTTCGTTTCTATGGAAACAGCACCTAATGGTAAGGGGCAGGAAGAGAAAGCTTCCACCTCACTTCTAGTCAGGAGTTGGGAAACAGCCCCTTTGTACTTGGGCTCACCCCCTCCTCTTCACTGCCAGGTGTTCACCATGGCAACCTCCTTCCAAACAAGAGGCACAGAGCACATCAGCATCTGGTGCTGGGGAGCCAGGGAAGCCCAAAAGGAGTGGAAATGGGGACCAGTTCCTCCCTTGCCAGGACAAGGCCCAGGCCTGGCCCTGACTCAGGCTTACAGTCACTTAATGCACTTTCCACGCGCACCTGGACTCATGAGGGTCATCACGAGGACGAAGGGAAAGAAAGTGGCTGTATGGAACCTGGCCTGCTCAAGCAGTGTGGGCCCACTGGAGGCAGCAGGGCTGGGGGGTGGTCCTGGTGCCTCACTGCAGAGACCCCCCAGACCTGTTCTATGAGGGAGCTACAGCCCTGGGTTCAACAGGACACGAAGTGCTTCTGATCAGGTGATTTCCTTGCCCTAGGTCATTGATTATGGGATACTAGGGTCCTGGAGCCCTGGTGCTGCTCGGGACAGATACTTCACAACCGGCTTTCATATAGTGAGCCAGCCAGGAAGCTCAGTTCTCATCACTGCAAAGCCCTGCAACCGCAGAAGGAAAAATCCCAGCACAGAAGTTCTTCCAAGGTAGGGAAGCTGAGATGAGAATGGCCCCACAGCAGGCTGTTCCATGTCACTACCAGACTCATGAAAGGTCATATCGGAGACCGCTCTGGAGAAAGAGGAAAAAGACTTCAAAAAAAGGGAAAAAGGGGCTTCAAGGAGATCTCCGAGAGGGCAAATCTGGCTACAAACAGACATGGGGAAAACAATGTAATTGTTATCATAGAAACCAGGAAGCTGGTCAGGGCAACAGTGGGACAGGGTATGTTTGACCAGGTGAGCGCTGAAAGACAGCAAGGAGCAGGATGGCCAGAAGGAGGCCTAGACTCACAGCCAGTGCTGTGCACTGTTCATTTATAAAAGGAAAACTTGGGGCTAGAGAGATGGCTCAGCAGTTAAAGAGCACTACCTGCTCTTCCAAAGGATCTGGGTTCAATTCTCACCACCCACATGGCAGCTCACAGGAGACCTGACACCCATGGCAAAACACCAGTGCACATAAAATAAAAAAAAACAGAACAGAACTTGTCACACTTCCTTCTTTGATTAGAGTTACTATAGCAGCGACCTGAGCACCATGGAGGAGAGGGAGTCCTCACAGGCCATCCCGTGCTGAGCTACACACCAAGTTACTATAACGGTGACCTGAACACCATGGAGGAGTAAGAGAATTCTTACAGACAATCCCATGCCTACAGTTGTGCTAAACACCAAGCAAGGCGTGTATCCCTCAGAGATGAGGAATCTGAAACTCGGACCTGCAGTGACTTGCCCAGGGTCACCAGTTCAGCAGCAGGAGCTCACCTGATATGTTGGCACTGGAACCCTCGTTGGGCTTCTTCGCCAGAGGAAACTCCCCATCAGCAAAAATGTCTGGGGAGGAGGAGTTCTCCACGTTCGGCCCGGCAGGCTTCTTCACTCGTCGGCTGAATAACCTGCTGCCGAAGCGTCTGCCCTCCTTGGCTGGGATGGCATCTCCATTGGCAGCTTCTCCCTTGCCATTCTGGGATTTGTGCCTCAGGTCTCCATGCACCTGAGAGACCGTCCTGCCATCCTTTGTTCTCGGCAATCTCGGGGAAATGGAATCTACTGTGGGCAATATCTGTTCTACTGTAGCCAGATCATTGAGAAAGCTCTCCAGACGCCGGGCAGATTCGCCACCGCCACTGCCCTCCTGTCCCTCTGCGTTGCCATCAGTTTCCTGCTGCTGTCGCACCGCCCAGCGCATCATCTCTCCTGGAGGAGGGCGGCTGCCTGCCACTAAGGAGTACTTGGGGTTGATAAGTTTTCGAGCTACAGTGGAGGAGTAGTTGAGGCCAAGCCTGCCTGCCAGACCCAGGTGCTTGTATAAGTTCACCTCCTCAGAGATGGCATACAGCTCCCGGAACTCAACGTCAAAGGGCTCCACGTTCTGCCCTGTCAGGAGCAAAAGAAGATTCCTGTCCACATAGGAGGAGCTCCAGGTAAAGCTGTGGATAGAAAGCAGAGACATGAATGGGCCCAAACCTCTCCAGTGTCCTACCAGTAGCTCCTTTAAACCCTTCAACCTGCTTCAACCTGCTCTGTCACTATGGCCATACTGCCTGAAGCCTGGCGAAAAATGCCTCGTGCCCTCACATTGGATTGCTCTCTTTTCAACCAGGTAAAATTCCCCCTCTCCCCATTTCCTTCCCATGGGGCTTGAGAAGTCAAACCTGGATCCACGTCTACCCTTCCTGCGTGCCTTGTACATACAATGCGGTTACAGGGCCTAAGGTAAAACATTCCATATGGAGATAGCAAGTCTTAATGCAAGGCTTTGAGGTTCAAATGAAATAACCAGCTCAGTACCCGGAACAAACACACACAATACGTAGGAACTAAGTTGTGCCATTTCCAGCATTGTTCCACCCCTGCTGATTCTTCCCAGAGTGCACAGGGTCTGCAAAAACCCATACTTTAACTGCAGAAGAGGACTCCGATAATCTATTTATTGTTACATCTGCTCAAGTCTCACTTAGATTTCCACTTTTTCAAAGGAAAAGGAGGTTCTCATGTATCTGGTACCTTGCCTTCAGCTCAAATTCTGGAGAGCACATCTGTGGTGGTTTGAGTGAGAACGGCCCCCACAGACTCCCATGTCTGAATGCTTAGCCACCAGTTGGTGGAACTGTTTGCATGGATTAGCGGTGGGCTGGGGGTGGGCTTTGAGGTTTCCAAAACCCATATCATTCCCAGGTAGTTCTCTTTGCCTTGTGCTAGGGATAAGATGTGAGCTCTCAGCTACTGCTCCAGCACCATGCTTGCTGTCACCATGCTTTCTACCACCACGGTCATGAACCTTCTGGAACCACAAGCCCCCAAATGAAATGCTTTCTTTTATAAGTTGCTTTGGTCATGGTTCTTTCGTAACAGGAATAAAAAAGTAATTAGACAATATTTTAATTAGCTTCCCCAGATCTTCTCCCTTTTACTTCTTGCTTATTCCACCCAAAAACCAGCCTCAAGGTACAGCCAGCTGCTGAGGACCATTACAAGCAGACAACACTTAATGCCTATGAAGGGTTGATCTTCTCTCTGGAATACTCCATCTGTCAACAGAAAGTCTGAAGAAAGGAACTGAGCAGGAGGCTGTTTATGATCTGGACAGAACATGCCTCTCAAAACCATGATTGTTGGGCCTGGAAAGATGGCTTAGTGGTTAAGAGCAATGGCTGCTCTTTCAGAGGTCCTGAGCTCAATTCCCCTCAACCACATGGTGGCTCACAACCATCTATAGTTGGTTCCAATGCCTTCTTCTAGCCTGCAGGTATACATGCAGACAGAGCACTCATACCCTCCCCCCCCAAATGAAACAAAAAAAAACCATAAAAAAAACCCAAAAAACCAACAACCATGACTGTGAAAGCTCCAGGCTAGCACACCCCTGAACAATTATCAATTACCATGAATACAGGTCTCCTGGGCTCTCCCCCTGTCCTGGTCCAACATACCTATAAGATCCAGTGGCTACTTTGTCTCCATCCACCATCAGGAACCTCGATGAGAGAGTCCCCTTGATCTTCCCCATGGGCATGTAGAAGCCAACTCCTGTCACAGAGCGGACCCGGATATTCTGTAGAGAAGAGAAAGACACCATTGCCCTGTCTGGGGAGGCCTTGAGACTCTGAACCAAGGACTTGCTTGGGGAGAGGTCCACAGATCCTGATTGCTGCCCAAGGCTTTCCAAAATTCTCTGCTTCCTTCAGCCTTACATGTTTTACTTTCAAAAAGTTCAGGAGAGTACTTGCTCAAAGTTCCCAACCAGAGAACTACAGCCCTATGCTGAACCTGACTGTGAAGCCGGTGGTTCCACAGACTGACCACCCCAGGACTGGGTGAGAGCTGCCTCCTTCACCTCAGCAGCTCTAGGACAATAGAAAGTATTAACAATATATAAGTAAGCGGTTACAAGTTCCTGAGTCATGACTTTACATAGAAGGAAAAATATTGGGATCTTGAAGTCAATCTGAGCCCTTGGGCTTGGGAGGAGGAAGTGGGAGGAGCCAGAGGAAAGGGTAGGAGTCTCCCATTTCATCTTAGGCCCATAACCTGTCCCAGTGGTGCAACTCACCCGAATGCGGAAGTCAGCAAGTTCCAGGCCCTGACACATCTCCAAAAAGTACTCCACTCCTGCTTCATCCAGGATGATGTATACAGGGACCCGGCGCTTAGAGGCAGCATCTACGATGTCTTGGAATATATCCCCATCAGTGAAAAGATCCATGACGACAGCAATGACCTGGACAGAGAAGGTGCTGCTGAGACATGTTGTGACTGATACATGTTCTGAGACAACCTGCCCAGAGAAGTCCACCTTGCCTTGGGGCAACTGATGACCAAGAGGCAAAAACTCTACCTGACACCACTCTTGGGTTCTTCAGGCACCCACATTTTAAAGCACACTGAATTCAGGCAAAGGGTCCGAGGGTGCAGGCTCTGATGCTGATGCTGACAGAGCTAGAGTTGGTGAGGTACCTCTGACCTCTGATGCTCAGCCTTTTCCCTATGTCATCATCAAATTAAGAGCAGTGTTCAGGAGCCCTCACCAGTCCTGATTGTATCCCCTTAGAAGCAGAGGCCTTTTCACCCCAGGGAAGACCCAGTTCTGTTTTTTTTCTTTTTTTTTAAGACTTATTTATTTATTTTATGAATAAGAGTGCTCTATCTGCATATACAACTTTATGCCAGAGAAGGACATCAGATTCCGCTAGAGATGGTTGTGAGCCGCCATGTGGTTACTGAGAACTGAACTCAGGACCTCTGGAAAAGCATCTAGTACTCTTAACCTCTGAGTCATCTTTCCAGTCCCCCAGTTTTGCTTTTTTTAAACATTTATGCTTCTCTCATATATTACATCCAGACCGCAGTTTCCCCTCCTTCCACTCCTCCCAGTCCTTTCCTCACCTCCCCTCTCCCCCAGATCCACTCCTTTACTGTTTCAAAATAAAACAAAACAAAACCAGCAAAAAGAGCATGCCTCCCAGGGATATCCATTAAACAACATGGCCCAAGAGGATACAAGACTGGGCACAAGCCCTCACATCAAGGCTAGACAAGGCAACCCAATAGGAAGAAGAGGGTCCCAAGCGCAGGTAAAAGAGTCAGAAATACCCTGCCTCTCATTGTTGGGAGTCCCACAAGAACACCAAGCTACACGGTCATAAGGTATATGCAGATGACCTAGCTCAGACCCATATGGGGTCCGTGTTTGTCTCTTTGGTCTCTGTGAGCCCCTATGAGCCATGATTCCGTGGGTCATGTTTTCGGGGTGTCCTTGGCCCCTTGGCTCCTACAGTCCTTCCTCACTATCTTCTGCAGGGTTCCCCTGACTCCGCCAAATGTTCAGCTGTGAAGACCCAGTTTTCTAAATTGAGTTGCTTCCATTTTCCTGCACAAAACAGCCACCATCACATTTTGAAGGGTTTTCTTGTGGGCCCCAAACATTGTAGACCCACCACTTTCTACTTATATGACCTTAGGCAAGATACTTGACCTCAGGGAGCCTGCTTCCTCAACTGCAAAGTGGAGATGCCCTGTACTTTATCATTTGCCACGAGGATTAGAGATAAGGCCACACATACCCAGTACACAGTGAGTCCTCAATTAACAGTAGTTGAAAATACAGACTTTACAGCCAAGCCAACTCCAGCACCCTGGATGCCTCGGCAGGAACACAGAGCTAATAATGGCACCTAACTCAGTGTGTGGAGGATTCAGTGGCACACACTGACACAGAGCAGTACTGGGCAGTGTTACGTTTGGCAAGCCTCTGTCACCTACGACACCATCACCATCTTCACACTCCACTCCACCACAATCCAGCCTCTGTGGGCTTCTACTTCCTCACTTCCCACAATATTACTTATTGCTCTCTCTAGTTCTTCTCTTCTTCCTTCTTCCTACTTCCTCTTCCTCCCCCTCTTCCTCCTCCTCCTCCTCCTCCTCCTCCTTCTTCTTTGACAGGGTTCTTTGTGTAGCCTTGGCTGTCCTGGAACTCACTCTGTAGACCGGGCTGGCCTGGAACTCACAGAGATCTACCTCTGCCTCCTACATGCTGGGATTAAAGTTGTGCACCACCACCACCTGGCTTTCTAGCGCTTCCATTTGCCAACCATTAACTTAACATCCACGTGATGATTACTGGTCCCTCAGAGGCACAGTGAGGATCTAAAGACAGATAAGTTACAATTGCCACAGGATGATAAGCCACTTACACGAGATAAATGTCTTAAGAGTTATACAAGTGTCATGTGATGTGTGGCAGAGATAGGCAAGCACTGCTTTTAGCCAGGAAAGGGGAGAATAAAACAAGCCTTACAATGAATAGGGTGCTTTTGGGGCCTGAGAAAGGAAATGAGGAAAAGAAAGGGGCAGGGTAAGAACTGAGCAGGGAACTTGGCTGGGCTGCTATGTGTGAGTGTGCCCTGGCCAGGGGCACTGGGCAGAGACAGGGGGATTGTGCCTTCCTTGCTTTTTTTTTTAATTTTCGAGACAGGGTTTCTCCGTAGTTTTTGGTTCCTGTCCTGGAACTAGCTCTTGTAGACCAGGCTGGCCTAGAACTCACAGAGATCCGCCTGCCTCTGCCTCCCGAGTGCTGGGATTAAAGGTGTGCGCCACCACTGCCTGGCGCCTTCCTTGCTTTGAGGGACCTACAAAGTGAACATTTCTGACAAAAGGCACAGCTCCAGCAAAGACACTCTGAGGCACTATGGTTTTTAATTTCACATTAACTTGGCTGGGCCATAGAATCCAGATATTTAGTGAAATACCATTCTGGATGTTTCTGTGAAGGTATATTTTGGGCTTCAAATAAAGCAGACTCCCCTCTCTTGTGTGTGTGTGGTGTGTGTGTTGACTTTCCTCCAATCAATTAAAAGCCTTCATAGACAAAGACTGACTTCTCCTGAATAAGAAGAAATTCTGCAGGCCATATGCTTTTGAACTTGGACTACAGCTCCCCCCTAGGTCTCTAGCTTGCTGGTTTACCCTGAGGTTTGAGACTTTCATCTAAAAAGAAATCTCTCTAGCCAGGTGTGGCAGCGCATACCTGGAATCCTAGCATTTGGAAGGTGGAGGCAAGAGAAGCAGGAGTCCACAGCCATCTTTGTATGTACAGAAAGTTTATGACAACCTGGTATTATCATCATCAACATCAGCATCCAATCATTCCACCAAAAGCCAAGAAAATCAACCTTTGTTTCCTTTCTCCCATCACTGTTCACACACACACACACACACACACACACACACACACACACGACTGATTCTGTTTCTCTGGGGAACCCTGACTAGCACAGGCTGAGGATGGGCGTGAACATGCACTAAATAGTCCCCAAATACTCATGCATTTTGGGTAACTTTTCTAATTTGATTCTTCACAATTGCTCTATTGGGAAGGACCATTATTCCCATTTCACAATTGAGGAAGTAAATACATAGGTCCGAGGTCACACAGCTAGTACACGGCAAAACAAGAAACAGGTACACCTGACCCAAGAGCACATCTCACTGCTGCATGATAGTTTAGAGACATCAAATTAAAAAGCCCATTCTTGGAAAGGATTAAAATCAGACAAATATCTAGAAAGGCTGACAGAAAGAGGAGACACAAACAAAATGCAGAATGAAAGGAGAATTAATTACAGACACAGTAGAGATTTAAGGAACAGTAAAATAAGAGCTAGGTGTGGTAGTGGAACTTACTAGAGTAAGTGTGATTCAAGTGTGTGCTACTAGACAGTAAAGCACACCTAGCCAACCACCAGGGAACCACTTGGATCTTGGCACAAGTCTATAAGAGAAAAGGGAAAGAGACACTCACTACAGCTTCCCTTGGGAAAACAAAGAATTGGCAACAATTTCAATATCTTTCTCTGGAAGACAAGGTAAGGAAGCCTGTATAGGAGAGGATGCTCCATAGCTGACGGAAGCAATGAATGAGTTTTCATGCCAGTTCTTAGTTCTTAGAGCTTTTCCAAGACTTATTTTATTTGTATATGTGTGGATCTAAATGTGTGTCACATACATGTGAGTGCCAAGGAGGCCAGAGAAGACACGGTCTCTTCAGGTGATTGTGAGTTGCCTGATGTGGGTGCAGAGAACAAAATCTAGGTCCTCTGCAAGAGCAGCAAGTGCTCTTACCTGCTGAGCCATCCTTTCAGATAGTTGGATTACTTCTTTAATTCCAGCACTAGGATATACAGAAGGAGGATCAGGAATTCAAGGTTATCCTTGGCTACAAAGCCAAGTTCAGGCCAGCCTAGCCTACAAGAGGAGCTATCTTAGCAGGGCGGTGGTGGTGCATGCTTTTAATCTCAGCACTTGGGAGGCAGAGGCAGGCAGATCTCTGTGGGTTTGAGGCCAGCCTGGTCTACAAAGTGCTAGTTCTAGGACAGCCAGAGCTGTTACAAAGAGAAACCTTGTGAAAAGAAAGAAAGAAAGAAAGAAAGAAAGAAAGAAGAGGAGCGCTCTCTCTCTCTCTCTCTCTCTCTATATATATATATATATATATATATATAATGTTATAGTGAACTCTATAGTCTAATACTAGTTACATAAAATAGTCTTATGATACTATATATTTTTCTAGAATACAAACATGTCCAAGGACTTACATTGAGCGTAGGAGAAGGGAATGGGAAGACATGAAAAAGAGAAGATGAGGGGTCTTTTGGTAGACTGATGACACCAGGGGACTGTGAACTATGGACAATGTCAGATCTTTTGTACTTGAGGCCAACTAATCAAACAAAACACATGCTCGAGTCCCCCAGTAGGACTGACACAGTCCACTTAGGTATGGAGGGTACAGCGGCCTTTGGGGGGGTGAGGTACATGGTAACATGGTCCTACAGGGTATACTTCATTACAGGGGGATACAAGCTTCCCATGCACCCATTCAAAGGTTGACAGAGAGAACATTTGACCGCCACATCTGTGCCATAACTAAGCACTTTCTCCTCCCACATTGACGGAAACCACAGTCCACTGCCCTCTCTCATCTCTAAACTCTTCCCAGTGTCCAGCTCAGCGTCATCGCACGTCACCTAGGACAGCCTGGCCAGTTTCCAAGCTGACTTCTTGGATCCCCATTTTTCTAATTTTGTACCTGGAAAAGCAAGCAGAGAAGTTAAGACTTGCCCTGGCCCCCACCTAAGACTGTGAGAGGCAGAAAGTTCCCAGGATGATCTCATAGGAGGCCTAGACACCCTGGTGAGAATCAGCCATCTGTGTCACTAC